GATCCCGTTTTTAATGCACTGATAGTTAACTCATAAAATCAATAATGATCTAAATTTTTACAGCAGTCAAGGTCGTTCTCCATGTTGGAGAGTTGATTAGATTTTGAAATTGATCGTTACATCTGTTCAAAATTTATTCCGAAAAAACATTTTTTAAAAATTTTATTCTTGAGATTTTTCACAATCTACCGGTGCGAATCGGTTGAAATAATATTGAAAATCTAAATTTAGTGAAACCTGTTTAATCCGTCAAGATTGTTTGATTTTTTCAAAGCGTTCAAAAGTTATAAAAGGCTTACACACACACACACACACACACACACGCGCGCGCGCGCGCGCGCGCGCACGCGTATCGTAGGAATACAAGTTGTTCGCATCCGTAGATTAATATTAACCAATACTTTACACGTGCTCTTCGTGTACAACATCGTAATAATGTAGTCATGTTTCGCAGTACCGGGTATCTAGGCTTAATTGAACGGAGCACGAGGTACAAACCTTCTATAAAAAGACAAGAACCTTGGGGCACCAGGCACTGGCTCATTGAATTAAGTCGCCTTGCTCCAGCAACCCGGGTTCTGCTAGAATGGATAGAATATTTCCCTAGATTTTCGTGAGATCAATTTGCAAAATATTTTCTCAAAAACAAACAAAGAAGAGGTCAAAATTGACGTAGAGTAGACGACGAGCAATGCCTTCTCAGCAACTGTAAGCCAAATTGTTTGTTTCTCCATCAACCCGGGGTGGTCGACAAACGCCGATGGAGCGATTTGGCATGAAAATAAAAGAGTTGCTTGATTACATCAAGGGTAGGTCAAATGTCCACGGCGAAATCAGGAAACTAGCTAGGTTCATTGAAACAGCAAACGGTTTAGCTATAAAGGGTTACATGGATGTCCCAAAGGAAATACCAATCAGGACAGTGTCGTCCACACAAACGTTTGCTTAGTTGAAAGACTCTCGCGAAACCAAAAGCAGAAGCAAGAACCGATTGACTCCGAAGAATCTCTAAGCAAAGGCCGGAAGACATAAACAAATGATGGCTCCAACCTCGAAAACAGCCATCAAAAAGCAAGGAAAAAATAGCCACAACAAAGTATTTTCTTGTTCAACCAGTCGAAGGGCGAACGTACGCGGATCTCCTCAAGGATATCAAAAACAAAAGTGAACCCCACGGAGACAAGCGTGGATATCAAGTCTATCAGATAAACAAGGAGTGGGGGAGTAATAATACTATAAATGGGCCGCACGACCGAAGACAGAACTGTCTTTACCGATGTGGTCAGGTCAGCAGCTACGAGCATCGGTAGGTCAAAACCTTGACGCCTACGATGATAATTGTAATTATGCCACCCCGCGTTTTTCGGCTTACTTTATAATAGAGTCTCATCTTACACTTCTCATTTACTACCGGCAGACGTTATTTGTATCAATTTAAGGATTTCAGACCTCTAATTTCACATTTTCTGAGCCTGGGGTAACTATTTACCCCATGTGGTCACTATAGTGACCTTATAAGTATTGAAAATTTTGTGAATCCGAATGACAAAAAAAAAGACTTTAAGCTAGAAGTTGAATTGGATTATTTTGTACCAGTTCACAGCAATCGTTGTGTAATTTCAGATAAAGACGGAACTGAGATAGAATAGATTTCCATTTTTTCTAAAGTTGAAAACTCACAAAAACTTCAAACGTGTAAGAGAATAAATGCTACTTAAAAAATCTAGGAAACGGTTGACCCTGCAGGCCATCCCTGGAACTTCCCGCTAAGTAAGAGCTTATAACGTTCAAAAAAAATTAATCTATTCTGATTTTGACCTCTTCAAAATCACAACTTTCCGATTTAGCTCTAGAAAGCTAAGATTTTAGTTTCAACAAGCTTTTGTATTCCATTGTGCCTACTTTACTCTGTACGCCTTAAATTGAGGTTAACTAGGTTGAAACAGGTTTCAAAAAATTTCGACTCGGAAGAAGCCGCTCTCAAGTGATTTACAAATTATAAGTAAACAAAAAATATGAATTCAATTGATTAGATGTTTTTAATGTCAGCAGGTAAATTGTAAAACTTAAAAAAATGTAATCCTTCTTTTCCCCAACCACCCGATAGTTAATAAGTTATAAGTGATACCATTTTTTATTATCAAATGCACAAAAGTAATAATAATATTTTATCAATACTAAATTATAAACGCCAGCGAAAAAAATTCAATGTAGTGATATATTCAAAAATATGTTACTCACTGTAGCTTTCTCACCAATCCAAAAAAAAATTGACCACATCAAAGATCCACTTTCATCTGAAATTGTTTTTAAAATTATGTAACAGTCTCCTTCGTAAAATTTTCCATGAGCAACTTCTTCGATTTGGTTTGGTAAAAAGTTTTCGATTTCCCAAACTGACAGTCCTGGTACTTGACCTGCATCTTCGTCAAATATTTCTGAATAGTCTAATGGTGGTTTTTCTAAACTTTCATCCCATCTTTTAGGCCTGAATCAAAACAATAAATTTATAGAAAATTCATTTGTGTACATCAATACCATAACCTTAATTGAAAATACAAACGAAAGAATTTAAAATGTTGAAAAGAATTTAAATTTCATGATTTCTAATTACTTCTGCTACTTACTTCAAAGATTCTGTTTTATAATCACTCAAATCTCGCTCCTTGTTTTTAGTCGAAGCAACATCTTTCATACCCTGTAAAAATAGTCAGATTATGGCTCTATCAAGTTTAAAGTATTAAGTAATTCCGGTTAAGTAGTTAAAATTTTCAATAGATTTCGTATTTCCACATAATTTTTCTGTCGTCGCCTTGAGCAGAAAATATAATCAATGAAAATGAGAAAATCTTAATTGAAACCATAGTCGATCCACGTTAGTGAACAAATTACATTTTGACTGATTGATAGTGCAATTTTGGAATTTAATTCTTACGGTCGAAAGAGGCTTGCTTTCGAATCGATCGAGAATCCCCTTTATGGGGAATGGAATTCTCTAGTGAAGTGGATGTAGGTAGCTCTTTAGATTGCGTGGCTATTTATCACTTAAAGAATGAGTTTTCATGAGAATTTAACGCTCTCTTGTATTAAAATTGAATCTTCAGAGAAAAAAATTGGTCAGTAATTTATAGAACTATTAAGGATAGCATAAGTGTTTTCAAGGTGTACTTTGAAAAAAAAATCGGAAAACGATTGACCCTAAAAGCCATTCCTGCAACTTCTTGCTAATTCCACACTTAAGCGCTCAAAATTACACTTATTACATATTTGAGCTCCTCCAACTCAAAAATATATTTTTCATGTCATTTTGAGCTCTCGAAGCTCAAAAATCTAATAGAAGTTTAATAAAACATTATTTTTTGAATTTTTAAACCGCAATATACTTTGAATGAATGAACCGATTTTCACGCAATGGCGGTATTTGACGTAGTTTTTTTAAGCCTCATGGAGAATCTTTAAGTTTAAATTGATTGAACTAGGAATTTCGAAGTAATTCCGATTAAACGCTTTTTTTGGTTATCTTTCGACAACAATAACTCACGAAAGAATCAACCGATTTCGACCGGGCTGGCGGCCCTTAAGTTTATGTCTGAGCGAAAAAATTATTTTCGAATTATTCAAGTCTACAAACCAAACTATTGTCGAAAAAACGAGAAAAAATGATATCCGCTCGAAATATCATTAATGGAAATGATTGATGCATATCATAAATAACATAATAATTGCACTTACACAAAACCAATCGAATGAATTAATATTATTTTTGTAGTTTATTTATGTAACCTCCATCTATAGTGTATGTCAATAAAAATAATAATAATGAAAATAATGAGTGTGGCGCGAAATTCAAATTTCTAGTTTCGCGAATATTTTTAATAATTAAAAAAATTAATCTCAATTTCTTATAAATAATAATGATAAGGGTGATTGGATTTATAATAACAACCATTAGGATTAGTATTATTATTTTATTTATTCATTTTTATAAACATGAAGTTAAAAAAAACATTAGAAATAAGTATAATATAAAAATTAAATTGTAGTATAATTAAAAACCAGTTTTTCAATCCATGTACTAACTTAATTATCATTGTTAATAAATATATCTATATATTTCAAGTTTCATACAGATTTATTCACAATAAAAATAAAATTTTAATTATTGATGATTGAAAAACTGGTCCTGAAAAAGATTAAAATTTAACATTAAGATTAAAAATTTTAAAAAGTATTAAATGATAAGTATAAAAAAAAGAACTTTCAGTAGATAAGTTTTACAGGTAAAAATAAATTTAGGATAATTGGTTTGTCCTGACCTAATTAACATTTGTCCTGGCTAATATAATATATGTTCAATTATTAATTGAAAAATTAGTCTTAAAAAAGTTTTAAATTCAACATATTTATATTTGAGAACATTGTTATTTAATCTGGTAATTTTAATGGGAAAGATGGAGAAGAAAAATTTCAATGTAAAATTTTTTTATTTTATCGACAACGTTTCATCAGCATTGCTGATGAAATAGCAATAGAATAAGAAAATTTTACGTTGAAATTTTTCTTGTCTATCTTTCCAATTAAAATTACCAGATTAGAATTTCAATGTTGTTGAACATAAATATGAGACTTTGAAAATTTATAAAAAGTAGTCAATAAGAAGTATAAAAAAAAAAGAACTCTTTCAAATAACAAAAAATTTAGCAGTTAATTCTTATAAAGTAACTCTACGGAAAGTATCCCCTATGGAATTGTCCTTCCTGTGAGCAAAATGGACAATTAAATCGCTGATTTCTAAGTCTGGCAGCTTCAGCCGATGATTCAGCCCAAGTTGAGCACATTTTGATGTTCAAGAAAGGTAAAAAATTTTAGGCTATTGCAGCGGGCTCGTCAAAACAAATCTGAAATTTGAAAAAGCTTTTATTAAATTGCTAAATATTATTTGCTTATAATTAGCAGTATTTACCTTATTTATTGTGCTTTATTACATGTTACTAATTAGATTAATCGCGAATTAAAAGTAGGGCTCCAACACCGATGAGATTATCTTCATTCATAACTATGTAAGTTTCATCGGTAACAGCAACTAGAAAACAAATGAAATAACACCTTTATTTTAATAAAATTTCATCACTATTAGTGATTGCTACTTACTATATCTTTTTAGTGGCAAATTGATGAAATTATCAACTTCAATTGTACTCTGAATAGATTTGTCAGACTCGAATACAGGGATTATATAATTGACACACTCCAAAAAGTGCGCAACATCAAATGAGTTATTATTGTATAATTCCCAAGCCCGACTTATAACGGCATTTTGGAGTTTTACCTCTGATCGCCGGGAACGACGAATTGGCTGAGCCATCTTCAAAGCGTGCACCTCACGTTTTGTAATTTCATAGAAATTTATTAGTGACTATGAAAATTAGTTAAAATCAAATAATAATCCATATTATTAAGAGAATAAGAAAAATTTTGTGCCCAGAATAGTCATATGATAAAATCGGTTTTTTTAGTGAAATATATATATATATATATATATCGGCCGTAGTGGCCGAGTTAGTAAGACGTCGAGACATTGTCCGTACATGCTTGTAAATTAAATATATAATATATAATATAATAATAATAATATTATGTGATATNAAAAAATTCTTTAAAGCTATCTTCATCGTTATTTTTAAAATTTTTAGAAAAAACTCCGAATTTTTTTATGAATACCATTTTTAGTTTCTTTTTTCTTTTTCTCATTCTAAACTTTGACATTTTTTTACAGATATCATGAAATTTCCAGAGAGGTGTTTTTTCGATTTCTATTTTTTCTTTTCAATTAAAAAAAAAAAATTTTTTTTTTTTGTCGTATTTTTCATAACACCGGTTCAAAAATTTACGGGAATCCTCAAAAAAAAGTAAAAAGTATAGAACCATCATTTTAATATGTTAATCATCGAGAAAATCAATTTTTTTTAAATCAAAGAAGAAATTGAAAAACAATTGTTTTTTTTTATTTAATGCTTAATGAATGGTGGGCGTTGAAATGAACAGTTCTCCGATACTCTAAGTTTTATAATTAAAACGGTTTTGTCAAATGGTTTAATACATGACTATGATGTCTGAAATGCAATAATTCTTAAACTAATAAAGACATTTTCCTTAGCTAAGCAAAAAAATGTTCTTTAACAGTATTGTTTCTAATGATGGCACTTAATTAATTTTTTTTTTTTATGAGGAGGATTCATTGGTGGCGCAAACTATCGTTTCTCGACGACTTCTAGAGTAATTTGAAAATAGACTTGGGCCTTCACAAGGATTAAAAATTTAAAAAGCAATTTTGAGAAGCTAATCTGGTTAACTTTTAGTTCTATATTTTTTGTTGTTTTTCAATTTCTTTTGTTTTAAAAAAAATTGATTTTCTCGATGATTAACATATTAAACTGATGGTTCTATACTTTTTACTTTTTTTTTGAGGATTCCCGTAAATTTTTGGACCGGTTTTATGAAAAATACGACAAAAGAAAAAAATTTTTTTTTTTTAATTGCAAAGAAAAAATAGAAATCGGAAAAACATCTTTCTGGAAATTTCATGATATCTGTAGAAAATGTCAAAGTTTCGAATGGGAAAAAGAAAAAAAAAACTAAAAATGTTATTCATCAAAAAATTCGGAGTTATTTCTGAAAATTTTAAAAATAACGATGAAGATAGCTTTGAATAATTTTTTTATATTTTTTTCCAAAAAGAACATTTAATAACAAAAATTTTGAAAAAAAAAACGTCCCGATAAGCCAATTTTTGAAAAAGTTATGGCAATTTAAAAATAAAAAAGCGGTTTTTTTGAAAAATTCGGAACTTTTTTTTGGTTGGGTAAAAAAATTTGAAAAAATTATGAGAGACGTTTTTGATAGGGTAGAAAAGGATGGTAAACTTTCAGCCAAATCAAAAGGGGTCAGGGTCAAAAGTGGTTGATTTGGCGTGGAATGCCCCATATATATATATATATATATATCAAAAATGCATGTGGGTACTCAAATAAAAGCTCTTGACGAATGTAACATCGGGATGAGCTTATATCTTTAAAAACGTCAGTATTTTAATAAAATTTAATTTATTTATAGTTTAAAAGTCACATAATGACTGCAAGGTTGCTATAGTAATAATTTCTTTAATAGCATTATTCATGATACTGAAAAAGAAATTTACTCAACTAAAAAAAATTGTTTTGTCTTAAATCAAGCAACAAAATTCTAAAATTAAGAAATTTTTCTTTGTTCAAGTTCAAATTCAAGAATTTTCTTAGATCTAGAATTTTTTTCTTGAATAAGATAAATTTTTTTTCCAGTATACTCACCTGTGAACTGCCATATGCGAGTATGTATGCCGAATTTGACATTGATGCGTCTGTTATTTGACTCAACAGAATTGTTAGTTCTATCTAAAAAACTGAAAATTGACCAATTTTCTGGTTTAACATAATTCATCCAATAACTTTCAAAATACTGCAGGAACGATTGAAAAGATGGTAAAAATACTTGATAAACCATTTTTAAATAGTTCAAAGCGTTATGAATTTCATTTGCTGGAAGAAAAGCCAAACCAATTAATTTCCTAAAGAACTCTCTACCATCTTCCCATTCAAGAAGTTTATTCCACAATCCCAGATCCTTAGATTTTTTTATCAGAGCCTGAAAAATTAATCATGACAATTCGTGAATAGTTTGAAAATAAAATGTCTCCATAGAAATTATTCGATTGTAAAGCTGATGAAGTAGTACTAAAATCTTAATTATTCATCACACACCTGCATAAAATGAAAATAACAACCTTTAGAGCGGGCGTTTGGATAAAACCGCTGACAAACTTTTTTCAGTCCCATTTCATAGTCTGTTGTGATTGATAAGACTTGTAAGTGAGGTCCACATCGTTTAAAGTGATCAATTACTGGAGCGTAACAACATTTTGTTTTTCTACTCATTAAACTCCAAAGTACTGGAACTACCTGTAATAATATAAAATGATAATAATTATAAAACTATTAAACATTATGATATATTTATTTACCGTGTCATCAATAGAAGCCATGATCGTAAAAAGTTGAAAAATTTTTTTAGGATTGCGAGGGCACACTTTATAAGTTGCATCTGCAAATAGATGAACTGTTTGAAAATTCAGCAACAGAGTAGAGTCCAAAAAGACAACAGCTTCAGATCTATCAGTTGCAACTACATGTGCTGCAGTTAAACTGCTATCATTTTTGAAAAACAAATTTTTCCAACGTTGTGAATTTAATCGTAGTACATATTCTTGAAATGTTTTAGGGACAGGAGGACAGTTTAACGTACGCCACGTTCTCATTGTTCTGACAACTTCTACAAATGGTAAAAGTATCGATGCTCGGGAATGTCTGTGAAAGAAATTAATAAAATGGTTGAAACCAATAACTTTCCGGATTGATTTTCAAAAAATCATTGACTTTCATAGTGGGAAGTTGAAAATATAATATTTACTTCATTTTTTTTTTTTTTTAAATAAAAATTGAATACTCATACCCAAGACTTATATCATCATAAATTAAACGTAAATCTCGAAGATTGGAAATTACAGCTGTGTACAAATTTTTCTGGAAATTGTATATCAATTCTGTATCAAAATTCGGTGGATGATTGTGATTTGTCGATAACGTAATTGGTGGTCCTCCATCTGTTGTACCTCGAGCTCGGCAATTGCTTTTAGACATTTCATGACATTTTACGTACCTATAACAAAATAAGATGATTGATAATATTGATAAAGTATATAATTAAGGTAAAACTTAAGGTAAAACTTTGTGATAAAAAAATTTTACTTATAGAAATTATAAGTACAAATTTTTTAAAATGTTTTTTTTTTTACTAATTTATTTTTTATAGAGAGGTAAAAATTGTCAAATCTCTACTAATTTCAGAATCAACCAACTTAGAATAATTATAACCTCAGTTTAATGACAGCACCATAAAACTAAATATAATATATTGTTATATATTAAAAAAAACTTACACAACACTATTGGATGAAAAAGAACGTATGTAACAGTAACCATTATGAAATATTGGATCAGAGTTTTGATGAGTTTTTGCTCCAAATTGGAACATTCTTTTAGCGATTACGTAATTTTTTTTCGAAGAAAGTAATTTTTATATCGTTATTTAAGATATTTAAGTTGTAGTGAAAATTGAGAAGAGCATACAAAGCATGAAATAAAAAAATCACACTTTTATTAATACAATTATTTTATTAATGTTATTTAACGATGACAACATAAACTAACAAAAAAAATAGACAAAGCTTCATTCTAATAAACATGGACACCATTTTGTAATTGTGGTCGGTAAGCACATAATCATCTATACCGACAGAATAATTGACGAATTGATAACCCCTTCTTCGGAGGCTTTATTTATATTTGCATGATTACGAATTTCTAATAAACTAAATTAATTTTTCGATTTATTGTACTTAGTCATGTACTTCATCGCCATTTTAAAATCATAGCGTCTCTTAAGTTATGACACAATTCATGACGCAGTTCAGTAAAATAGTGTAGAAATTTCTTCATTGCAACCATTTAAAGTTAATTAAATAAAAAATATATTTCTGAAGATAAATATTTATTTATAAAATCTTAAACTTATTAAAAATTTAAAAATAATAAAATATAAGGATAAGTAATATTAAAATAAGAAAAAGTGAATGTTAATAAAACTATGGCTAATACTATAGAGGAAGGCGGGTTCTATTATTTAATTGAACGATCTGTTGGGACCATAAGGTAAGAAAGAAATTAAAATGAAATATTTGAATTTAAATATATTCCCAAATAAATATTAAATAAATTAATGCACATGAAATTTTTAGGTATGTAAGATGTCGTGCAGTAGCTCAACGATGTAGAGCTCGGGGAATAAAAGTTCATAATGCCCCAATTGTTTTAACACGAACGCATTGCTATGTTCCCGGGAGGAATAATGATCGAGAAATAGAAGAATTTCGTCGAGATTTAATCCACACGACCAGGACAACTTTTTTGCCAATTCGGCTTGTCTGCGATATAGTATCAGCATTGTAAGTAAATAAAGAATTTTATCTTTTTGAATACCTATAATTTACGTATATATTTGTATTTTAAAACTTTTTAGACACTAAAATGCAGCAGTGAGATTAAATTTCCAAATGGTCGGATCTTATTGTCACAAGAATAAACGTAAAAACATACATTTTGTACACTATTTTTACATACCTGGTAATTATAATAATTATCTTGGAACAAAAAATGTTTACATAAACAAAATGTAAATGGTCACTTACTAAAACAATTCACTGATTTATATTTTATTAATATTCAATTTACTAACTGACTATAACCCATAAATTGTAAACAACACTTCACGCGCAGGCGCTAGAAAAAAAAAGTAGCGGAGGTATCGTGGGTATAATCAAAATTTCTACCGAGCTTAATTCAAATTATACGGCATAATTTTTCAGATTATATCCAGTATAATATTACGCTGCATAACCTGAAAAATTATTTGGCTAAATCGGAGATTATACTGAGTATGTTACAAAAATAATTTTGTATAATCTGGAGTATATTTGATAATATCTGAAATTTTTTTTCACCACAGATATCTGTGAGTATAATATGACAGGATATCTAGTGTTTTTTTGTTCTTTCTGTGGAGAAGGTTCAAAAATTTATTTAATTTTTACTGTTTCAGGAACATTTGTCTTTGGTTAAAAATAATTTAGAACGTTTGTATGGTGAATTAACAGATCTCGGATGCCTAAGATCTCTTAATATCCGTCATAATTCATTGAAAACTAGCGGTGTTCCTTGCGAGTTATTTAATTTGGAAGAATTGACTACACTTGATCTCGGGTATAATAATTTAAAAGAAGTACCTGAAGGCTTAGAAAAAGCGAGATCACTTCTCAATTTGAATCTTAGTCATAATCAGTAAGTGACAAACGTACTTTTGATTTTTTACATTACATTAACTGAATTATGGTTTTTTTTTGTTTCCTAGAATCGAAACAATACCGAACTCGTTGTTTATAAATTTAACTGATCTTCTATTTTTGGATTTGAGTTACAATCGATTAGAAACACTACCACCGCAGACAAGACGTTTATCTAATTTACAAACATTGAATCTTAATCATAATCCACTCGGCCATTTCCAATTGAGGTAAGACTTAATTTATATCACAAATCGTTAATAGAATTTTCTTTATTTATTATTAGAAAGATTTCTAATGTGGCAATCAAAAACGTTAGGGGTATACGAATATGTAACATATGTATCCGATTATGCACTTTTTAAATTTGTTTCGACGTTTGGTCTTAAATTTTCAACAATTATAATAAAAAAAATCCAAGCATAATAAATTTTTCTCGGTAACTATATTTAATTTGATTTAATGATAATTCATTGTTATCAGGCAGTTACCATCATTGATGAATTTAACGACATTACAAATGTGTGATACTCAGAGAACATTGAATAATATTCCTTCAAGCCTAGAAAGTCTTACTAATTTGCAAGAACTTGATTTGTCTCTGAATTCGTTACCACGGGTACCAGATGCACTTTATTTACTTTCGAATTTAAAACGACTGAACTTAAGTGATAACGAAATCACAGAAATATCATCAGCAGCTGGTAAGTAAAAGCTCGTTAATTAATTAGTTTTGAAAATATTGAAAATGATTTGCATTGATTAAAATTGTTTTTATGCTTATGCTACACACACAAAAACAATCTTGTTCAAATAACAAAAAACGGGATAACTGAAAATTATGTTGTGGTAACAAATGAGTATAGTTATATGTAGCAACAAATCCATTAGTTGCATTAACAAAATGTTTCAAGTTGTACTAACAAACCAGTTTGTTAAATCACAAAATCAATTTGTTGCTCTAACAAAATCATTTTACCACAACATCTCTTAGGTTATCTTAACAAAATTTTTTTCTGCGTGTATATGCCATAGAATTAACTTCTTCCTGCACAAAATTACAAAACTTTATGTTTTCTTGATTACATTTGACTCAGAGATAGAAAAAAATTTTTTTTTGCTGAAATTCAAGAACTCATAATGTCGAAATAAAAAAAAAACTCTCCGAAGTTTTTAGGATCTCTTAAAATTATTTAAAGATATTGCAGTAAAAAATACGAAATTTGGCGTCAGACTCTACCAAGCCTGTGGATGAGCCCAAAATTATGTGTTAACCCGGGAAAAAATGATCAGACCTGACCATGCCTGTTCATGTATGATCAGACCTGAAATTAGACCTGATCAGGCTTGTTCATGTATGACCAGGTCTGAAATTAGACATGATAATGCCTGAGCAGGCCTGTCCATGTCTGATCAGACCTGTCCATGCCTGATCATGCCTGAAGTGTTAAATACGCTCAGGCCTGAGCAGGCCTGTCCATGTCTGATCAGACCTGTCCATGCCTGTTTATGTCTGAAGTATTAAATTCACTCAAGCCTAACCAGGCCTGTCCATGCCTGATCAGACCTGTCCATGCCCGTTCATGTCTGAAGTATTAAATTCACTCAGGCCTGTCCATGCCTGATCAGACCTGTCCATGTCTGAAAAGTTAAATACGCTCAGGCCTGACCAGACCTGTTTATGTCTGTTCATCTCTAAAGCGGTAAATACGCAATTGCCATACGATTTTCAAAAATTCAAAATTTCTAAAAATTTTTCATTCAAATTTTTCTTCCAAAGTATATTTTCTTTCAATAGCCCTAAGTCCCCCCCCCCCCCACCCGTCGTTCAAAAAAAAAGTATGTGTGTGTATTAATGTACATAGGTATGAAATGAAACTTTTTCATGATATATTAGTTATTTTTAAGAAGTGTCTATTCACACGTAAAAAAATTAGAAAAACGGTTCACCCTAAAGGCCACCCGTGCAACTTCCCGCTAATTCCATTCCTGGGCGCTTAAAATTGTACTTATGACATTTTGAGCTCAAAATATAATTTATGTGATATTTTGAGCTCGCTGAGTTCAAAGAAATAATATTTCTATGCATTTGAGCTCTCCCAGCTCAAAAGTCTGATAGAAGTTTCATAGAACACTATTTTTGGAATTTTCAAACCGCAATAACTTTTGAATGGATCAACCAATTTTCACGCGGTTGACGCCATTCGACGCAGTTTTATTATCCTCATAAGTTATTTTCAGGTTTTAATTGATCGAACCGAAAATTTCGGAGTAATCACTTTTTTCAGTTTTCTTTCGTTCACGATATCTCTCGAACGAATCAACCGATTTTGACCAGCTTGGTAACAATCGACGTGGTTTTTTGATGTTAAGAGCTGATTAGTTTTTGGAATCGATCGGTAGAGCTGTTTGAAAGTTATTCCAAAAAATGTCGGAGTTATGTTGAAAAAATCCTTATTTCCAAATATTTCGTCGAGGATATCTCTTGAACCAATCAACCGATTATTACGTTCTTGGCGGCGATCAATGCGGTTTTTTGAGCTATAAAAATAATTCTAGGTCATCAAAAACGATCCGAGAAGAAATGACGAAGTTATGTGAAAAAAACATTCTTTTCGGTTTTCTTTCGTTCACGCTATCTCTCGAACGGTTTTGACCGGATTAGCGCTGATCGGCGTGGTTTTTCAAGCTTAAGGGTGGATTAGTTTTTGAAGTTGATCGATCGCGCCGTTTAAAAGATATTCCAAAAAAATCACTTTCAAAAATGATTTTTTTCTTATTTTTTTTGAGATTTCTCCAAATTTCTCAAAATCTATCGGTCCGAATCGGTTTAAATTAACAGGAAATCTAAGTTTGGCGAAGCCCTTTCCAATGGCACCAACCGCGATGAAATCGGTTCAACCGTTCAAAAGTTGTAAGCGATTCACATACTTACACACACACACACACACACACACACACACACACACACACACACACACACACACACACACACACACACACACACACACACACACACACACACACACACACACACACACACACACAC